TCTCTCATGAATAAATGAATAAAATCTTAAAAAAAAAATAAAGAAAAAGAACAGTTTCTTAAATCCCTAAACAATAAACTTGCTGTTTATCTATTTTTGGTAAATGGGCTCTTTAAAAGAACCATATGAGAAACCATTTCACTGCCCTCTGTGTTTATGTTTCAATGTCTAAATGTCTCTGCAGTGGGTGATTCAGAAGGACACATCCCCCTCTAGTGGCCACGTGGAGGAGCTGCCAGGGGTGAGGCGGGAGGGGCGGGGGAGGCCAGTACCAGGGACTGGAAACTGGGCTTCAGCCAGCACTTGCCCAGGTGTTCAGGGTCCAGCAGGCGGGTGGGGGCCCCAGCTCTCTCACCTGATGGATCAGGTACGTGATCTGGTGCTTCCGCCGCTGCTGGCCTGTGGGCTGCTCGCCTTTCTTCTGCAAGGGGAGAAAACACAATAATTAAGCCACTGGAAGAAAAGTACAAGTATCTCACATGCCCAGATGGTGCAAGGCTGGAGACTGAGAAACCGACCACATAACCCAGATCCTGGGGGAGAAGAGTCAGCATGGAGCTGTTTCTATGACTATACACTTACAAACAGTTATTTTTATTAAAGCTATTTTCCAAAAAACCCAGACTCAGAAGATCTGCCTGAAATAGCCTGCTAATATCCCCACTGGCCTCGAAATACTTTGAGGTCAGTACGGTGTCTTCTGTTTCTCTGGTAACCCCACCCCACCCCACCCCCAGCAACAAGCACAGGGCTCTGCCCACAGTGGATGCTAGACGCCAACTGTAGTGCCCGCAGGGAGCTTAACACAGCGTCCCTGCAGACTGGCTCACAACCCTGCCCATCTCCCGCGTTGACCCTCTCAATCTCTACCTCCTTCTCCTGTCAGCCCGCCACCCAGCCCACTCCTACCTACTGCTTCCCAAGCTCTCCTATCAATGGCTAGCAGCTGCAAGCCCGCCTCCCCCATTCTAGCCAGTGCCTATGGGACCCTGCAATTCGAAATTCCACCATCACCCCACCTGTCTCCAATCTTTCAGTATCCACCCCTAGCTGGCTGAAGCCCTAACCAAGCTCTGATGCAAATGCCTTACTGTCCAAGCCTATATGGGTCTGGGTTTCATCCTGTGGTGTTCTGTCCTCCACCAGTGCTGTCTCAGACCAGAAGCTTCCTAATCTGCCCCACCCAGCTCCCAGCACTCTTCTCTGGAGTGTCCTCAGCACACCCATCATTCTGTCAACACTCCTGCGTCCTGAAGTCTCTCTCCCAGTTACGCTGTAAACGCCTCAAGGACAGGAACCGTATCTTTTTCTTATTTTTAAAAACTCTAGCTTTAATAGCTTTAATACAATGAGATGGTGGCAAGAGAAGCCAGACCTGGGAAAACTGTGAACTTCAATTCCTTGCTGCTGTGTGACATCATTTAATGTAACCCTCAAAGATGGCAAACACTAACCACCCCCAGTCCTCGGTAAGCGCGAATAACAGTAGCTGTTACTATGTGATGATGCTTCTAGACCCATAGTCAGGAAAGCATGCTCTCCTAAGTGGTTTTTCCAGGAAACAGTGATGGATCTACGTCGATCTAACCACAATCCTTTGCTCTGTCCTGTATGACCGCCAGCATTCAGTTAAAACAAACGGCTGGGGCTCAGATGGCCATCTGTGGCCACAGAACAAAGCAGAGAAAGTCAGGGGGAAGAGAAGGGAATAAGATGCCCGACCTTGGCCTTGCTGGTGCTGGGCTCGAATCCAGGGCTCCCCCACATTTTCCCCCCTGTGGCAGGTTCATAAATGTCCACATTTGCTGTACTCAGCTACTAGGTGGAGAGGGGTTCATCACGCTGAAGAAAATGAGCACAGAAAGGCAGGAGCTCGGTGTGGGAAGCGTGAGGAATAAAGCATCTGAAAAGCCCACAGCTGGCTAAAATAAATAACAAAAAAGGAGAGAGGAGGGGTTGCACACGCAGAACCTAAGCCCCCAGGACTTTGCTGTTATGCCCACACCTCAAAAGGTGCTGAGCCAGGCCCCAGCGCGACAGGACAGAGGAGGGATCTGACTGCGGGCAGAGGGCAGAGCAGCTGCAGGCTCCATCCAGCCGGGGAAGCAGCCACAACATATCAAAGTTCTTCCCAAGTGCAGGATGGGAAACTGCTCCAACTGCTCAATCTCAGCAACCAGACAACACCATCCAGATGGGAAGCAAAGTGCTGCAAAGTTATGGAAGGCAGAGGCTGCATCCATGAGGCTGGGGGCATGCCCCAGTACCGTGGGCAGCAGGCATGTGTGAACTGGTGCTGGGGCAGTAATGATTGGGTGTGGGCTCAGGATGGGGCCACACAGCAGATCTTCCCACTTACTTTGCTGAATGACTTCATGGTTTTCTCTTCTGTCAGTGACTTGGTCATCCACTGCTGGGCCCCACTGAGCTGGTCATCCCCTTTAATCTCCACAAAGTTGACCTCCTCCCTCCCTCGGTTCCTCTTGCCCTGCAGCCGCTTAAACTGAAAAAGGAAAAAGAAGGCAGGATGGGGGGATCTGGGTGGGGAATCAGGGGAGGTCACTAGGGGTCCAGACCGTATGGAACGGCTTTGTGACTCCCTGGCCCCCCATGCCCTTTCACCCCACCACCTACCAAGCTCCCCTGAGGCCAAAGGAAAGGCTGCTGCTCAGAACTTCTACACTCAGGGAAAGGATGCCTCGGCAATGCAATACCCCGGTCACTACTTGGAACTGGTCACTGCTTGGAACTTGTACTCATTATATATACACTGTATCTGCCTCAAAGGACTGTGTACAATTTTCAAATTAAGAATTCAGGGTAAGGGGCAGCCTGAAGGCTTAGCGCCACCTTCAGCCAAGGGCGTGATCCTGGAGACCTGGGATTGAGTCCCACGTTAGGCTCCCTGCATGGAACCTGCTTCTCCCTCTGCCTATGTCTCTGCCTCTCTCTCATGAATAATTAAATAAAATCTTAAAAAAAAAAAAAAGAATTCAGGGTAAAAAAAAAAAATCTAGGATTTCTCCTCTAAAACTTGGTTTTTACACATCTGCTCCTTCCTCTTGGTTTGGTATCACAAAATCAGCAGACCCCACACCAGACTGGACCCAGAGAGGGAGCCTCATAAGAAAGGCCTGGCAGGGGATCGCTGGGTGGCGCAGCGGTTTAGCGCCTGCCTTTGGCCCAGGGCGCGATCCTGGAGACCCGGGATCGAGACCCACGAGACCCACGTCGGGCTCCCTGCATGGAGCCTGTTTCTCCCTCTGCCTATGTCTCTCTGCCTCTCTCTCTCTGTGACTATCATAAATAATAATAAAAAAAAATGATAATAAAAAGTGCCTTTAAAAAAAAAAAAAGAAAAGAAAAGAAAAGAAAAGAAAAGAAAAGAAAAGAAAAGAAAAGAAAAGAAAAGAAAAGAAAGGCCTGGCAGATCATCTAGGAGACTGCTACTCTCTCCTTCCCCTCCTCACCAAAGTCACCCAAGATGTGCCTGGAAGGTAGTGTGGGTGGACTCTAAAAGCACTCAGGGGGAAAAAAAAAAAAAGCACTCAGGGGCACCTGGGGTGCTCAGTCGGTAAGTGTCCAACACATGATTGGCTCAACTCATGATCACAGGGTCCTGGGATTGAGCCCCATGTTGGGCTCCCTGCTCAGTGGGGTGTCTGCTTCTCCTGCTCCCTCTGCCCCTTCCCGTTTGTATGTGCATGCTCTCTCTCTCTCAAATAATAAAAACATTTAGGGAGGAAAAAAAAAAACACTGAGAGACTTGAGTGGAACCCAGGTCCTGGTCTAAGCATTATTAGCGAGGCTCTGAGGGGCATTCCACACACAAGAAACTAACTTTTGCCACAGGATGAGCTCAATGCTGCCTCCTGGGCTGAGGACCTAACCCTGAAACTTGCCAAGGAAATACCCACAGGGGATTGGGTGAACAGTAACTAGGAACAAGTATGCAGGGCAGCTTTGGCGCCGCCTGTGGCCCAGGGTGTGATCCTGGAGACCCAGGATCGAGTCCCATGTCGGGCTCCCTGCATGGAGCCTGCTTCTGCCTCTGCCTGTGTTTCTGACTCTCTCTGTGTATCTCTCATGAATAAATGAATAAAATCTTAAAAAAAAAAGTATGCAGAAGAATGGACACTCCTCTGTGAAAAGGTGAGCAGATGATTATTTTTCATAAGAACCTGTATGTAAAGAGGTAGCACCCTGGATTCCTCCAGCCCCTCCTACCAGGTCATGACCTCCCTACGAAGAGAACAATACTTTCCATCCTGCACACAGGCTGATGGCACAGGACATGGGGTTTCCACCTCTCCCTGGGCAGAGATGATGGAGCTCAGCGCAGGGACCCATGGGTGTAGAACACGAGTTATTCACCGTGGCTGTTATTCCCTCACCAAATCCATTCTCCCCTTCTTTTATGCAAGTGAGCCTGACATTCTAGCGAGGCATGTGACCACCCAACTAAATAAAGTCTACACCCCTGGGCGTCCCTGCAACCACGTGTGGCCATATGACCAGACTCTAGGCAATGTGGGAGAAGTGGGAGTGTTTGTAGGAACTTTTAGGAGGTCTCCTAGGTGAGGCTGCAGAGGGGTGGCTGGAACACAGGCCTGAGAGCTGCAGCCTCACCTGCCACTGCTGGGCAGAAGAATAAAGGCCACGTGACCCAGGGACAGCAAACTAATGATCAGGAGGGGACTGGACCCCTGGGCCTACCTATCTCTCATCTTCTTTTATGAGAAGTTAACTTCCCTGATATAAGCCATTATGCTTTAAAGTTTCTCAGTTACATGCTGCTGCAGTAAATCCTGACTGAATATAGTTATAAAAACTTTTTAGTTTCAGATTGAAACCTGATGTCCATAGGTCAGTCACCCGTGCTTTAACTTACTGCTTCGTCATCGATGAAGGAGGCATCTGGGGCAATTTCCTGGGGGGGGACCAGAGCCGGGTCCTGTGCAGGATAGTAGCCACCACTGTAATAATCCTGCAGCCAAGAGGGAAAAAAACATACCAACTGAGGGGCACGGTGGGCAGGGGACACGGCCTGCCCAGGAGCAGAGAGAGCCCTTGTCAAACAGCAGCAGTAGTGCCAGTACCACAGACACCTCCATTGGACAGGTAAAAGTGCCAATCCCAAGGACCCAGCAGCGATCCAAGAACAATCTGCAGTTTTTCTGATGTGCACCATCCAGACAGGTGGGTATTTTTTAGGGAAAGGTGAGAAGAAATAAAGACATTCTCTCCTGCTTCAATTTCCACCCTGATCCCTCAACCCGGCTTCCCCTCAGCCCTGCTCTAGAGGCAGAAGAGACACACTCGCACTGAGCAGGGGGAGAGGTGTGAAGGCATATCACTCCTGTTCTTTGTCGTATTTAGGGCCTCTGGACCCAAGGACACTGAGACCTTGGGCCTGAACCAGGAGAGAGCACACCTGAACTAATTTAACGTTGTGCATCCACTTCCACAAAAACATGAGATAAAATAACTGGCTATAAGGGTGGTATGGAATTAAAGCTGAGACCATGCCAGGTGTGTGTTACCAGACACTTAGCAATCTGAGGACCAGCCTGAGGTGAGCTGTTATATGCTGCCATGGGTCCCAGAGGAAGAGGGTTGCAGGCAGGATGAGCCCCCAGGCCAGTGGCCCTTCAGCTGAGAAACAGGTTTCTTCCCTGTGCACATTTTCTCCCAATTCTTCCACTTTTGCCCCAAGCTCCAATAAATGGCCCTCTAAGAACATCCACTTTTTGGTGAGCTAAATGGAAAATAAGGTTTAATACTGACGAAGGGGCACCTGGGTGGCTCAGTGATTGAGCGCCTGCCTTTGGCTTGGGGTGTGATCCCGGGATCAAGTCCCACATCGGGCTCCTTGCATGGAGCCTGCTTCTCCTCCCTCTGCCTGTGTCTCTGCCTCTCTCTGTGTGTCTCTCATGAATAAATAAATAAAATTTAAAAAATATATACTGATAAAATACATGAAAATCCAGAGTGATAGGAGCACGATTTTCTATGAAAGTATTCACGTAAGATACATGCAATTGCAGGGTCCCCGAGTATATGTCAAGTGTTTCATGTGCACAGACCTCGGTGCAGTTTATAAATGGATACAGAGCTCTCGGTCATCTCCGCTCTGGGAGCAGCTCTCCTGCTACAGCCCCTCATCCCCTGAAAATGTACACCTGTGCAAATTTCGTCTCCACCCCCTTCTTGGTCTGGAGAACCTCTCAGCTGTTGAGCCGATCACTGTCTGCAGTGGCGCTAAAACCACGGGAGACACTGACAGATAAGAGCCTCAGCAGCTTGGCAGCCCCACATCCCCTGACCTCACTTATTCCTAGCCGCAGTTTCCAAACCAGCACCATTTCAAGGGACATTGACACGGCAGCCAAGTTCATTGGGGCTGGGGCTGCCACTGTAGGGGTGGCTGACTCTGGGGCTGGAATTGGGACTGTGTTTGGGAGCTTCATCATTGGTTATGCCAGGAATTCCTCTCTGAAGCAACAGCTCTTCTCCTAAGCCATTCTGGGCTTTGCCCTCTCGGAGGCCATGGGGCTCTTTTGCCTGATGATGGCCTTTCTCATCCTCTTTGCCATGTGAAGGAGTCGTCTCCTCCCATAGGTCTTTCTCCCATGTCTTGTCTGCCCTGTATGTTCCTTTTCCTATACCTCCCCAGGCAGCCTGGGGAAAGTGGTTGGCTCAGGGTTTGACAGAGGAAAGACAAATAAATACTGTATTAATAAGAAAAAAAAGGGATCCCTGGGTGGCGCAGCGGTTTGGCGCCTGCCTTTGGTCCAGGGCGCGATCCTGGAGACCCGGGATCGAATCCCACATCGGGCTTCCGGTGCATGGAGCCTGCTTCTCCCTCTACCTGTGTCTCTGCCTCCCTCTCTCTCTCTCTGTGACTATCATAAATTAAAAAAAAAAAAAAAAAGGATACAGAATGCCGGTTACTCATTTAACTGGCTTTTTTTTCTTTTGAGCTAAAGAGGTCAAAACACTCTTATCTTCCTTCTATGTTGAAAGGAGACATATTGTTCCTGATCTGCCTACAGGGTACATCGAGGCTCGACAGCAAATATTCAGGAAATACAAAATACTTAGAAATTGTTCTTAAAGTCTTTGATCAGAACAGGGTCCCCCCCAGGGCACCTGGATGGCTCAATTGGTTAAGGACCTGCTTAACTTGTGCTCTCTCTCTCAAATAAATAAAATCCTAAAAAAAAAAAAAAAAAAAAAAAAAAAAACCAAAAAAAACAGGGTCTCCCCAAAGCCCACCCTATGGGTCCCTAGCCATGCCCAGGATGAAGGTTAAAGCTGGCCATTTTAGAGAATCACACTGCTTGCAGGGGACCTAAGTCTTGCAAATGTCCCGAGCTGGCAGGAAAACTGCCGCCAGCTGCCCCTGCTCAACCAGCAGCCCGCTAAGAGTCCCCGGGCCCCCGGAGTCCTCTCCACCTAGGACATGCTGGCTGCTGGTAAAGTCTTTCCTAAACCCACTCACAACCTGGCATGCTATACTCATTCTCACGCCACCCACAACAAAGCTAAGAAGCTCCTCCAAATGGCACTTGGATAAAAAATCATCACAACCAGGCAGCCCGGTGGCCCAGTGGTTTAGCACTGCCTTCAGCCCAGGGCATGATCCTTGAGACCCGGGATCGAGTCCCACGTCAGGTCCCCTGCATGAAGCCTGCTTCTCCCTCTGTCTGTGTCTCTGCATCTCTCTCTCATGAATAAATAAATAAAATCTTTTTTTTAATTTTTTAATTAATTTTTATTTATTTATGATAGTCACAGAGAGAGAGAGAGGGGGGCAGAGACACAGGCAGAGGGAGAAGCAGGCTCCATGCACCGGGAGCCCGACATGGGATTCGATCCCGGGTCTCGAGGATCACGCCCTGGGCCAAAGGCAGGCGCCAAACCGCTGCGCCACCCAGGGATCCCCTAAATAAAATCTTAAAAAAAAAAAAATCACAGCCATTTACTGGGCACTTGCTCTGTCCCAGGCACCACACACTAAGCTAGCTGATGGGATAGCCTAGCAACACCACGAGGCTGCCCGTTAGGCCCCCTTGCACAGCTGAGGAAGCAGCTCAGACTCACAAAGCTTGCAATTCAAAGCCCAAACTGCCCTCAGACCTCATTCTGTCCCACTGTACAAACTGCAGTCCCCTGCCTCCCCACGGTAGGCATCTCCACCCTCCCAATTTCCCAGGGCTTGGTCTCCCATGTTCTCTGTTCTCCCTTTTCCCTCTTCCCTGCTGTGTCAACTCTCCAGATCCCCCCAGCTCTCAGCATCTCCTCTCCTTCTGTCCTGCTCTCATGCACCCCCGCTCCCACCTCACTCATCACCACCATCCACACCCACGAGGCCATCCTGGATCTCCCAGACTAGAGGCCCTTCTTCTTCCGCTTTCTCCCTCCACCTCTCACCAGCTCTTCCGACAATGAGGGCTGGTTTTCAGAACAAAGTTACCAGTTATGTGCTTCTACTTGTCAGACTTTGAGACTTAGGCAATTTTAGACCAGTGTGGTTCAGAACAAAAGTAGTATGTATCGAGGCTCAATAGGTACAGGAAAATCAAGATACGAGAAGACATGAACTCAGCCAAAGTGATGGCACAGAAGCTGTATCACTGGCTCAAAGCTCTTCCTGGCCATCACACCCCAGCATGCCCTGGTCTACCCTCCATGCCTCCTACCCACCTGATAATAAGCACCAGCGGCATTGGCATCGCCATATGTGGAAAACTGATTGTAGCTGTAGTCATCCCCAGGCTTAGGCATCCAAGGGGCCCCACTGGAGCCTGCTGCCATCTTGAATTCAAGGGGGGCATTGGCTGCATCGTCCTGGAAGGCTGGCTCTGGTTCCGTGCCTGGAGGCAGCTCTTCAGGGACAGTGGGGATAGGGTAAGGGTATGGCTCAACTCCAGGTGGCTCAGCCTTGTCAGGGAGGGAGAAAAAGTTCTCGGGGGCAACTTCCTCATCACTGTCGTCCTCCTCCTGTGTAATCTGCTTTGTCACTTGCAGGGCAGCACTCTTGGCGGCAGCCTTGATAGCAGAGGGTGACGGAGTGGTGGTTGTGGTGCCCACGATAGAAGCAAGGGGAGAGGGCTTGGTCTTAGAAGCCTGTCTGGAGGGCTTAGTGTCAGAGGAGCCATCCGAGGGTCTCCGGGAGAAGGCATGGGGCAGGAGCAACCTGTTAGTCTCTTTCACGGTCAGGTTTTTAGGTTGGGGAAGCAGGGCGGACAGACCAGTCCCCTCACCGGATCCCTGGTGAGCGTAGGTTTGGGGAAGGAGGGAAGAAATGGGACAAGTGAGATCTTGTGATACATATTACTAACATCAAGAACACAAATCAGGGATCCCTGGGTGGCGCAGCGGTTTGGCGCCTGCCTTTGGCCCAGGGCGCGATCCTGGAGACCCGGGATCGAATCCCACATCAGGCGCCCGGTGCATGGAGCCTGCTTCTCCCTCTGCCTATGTCTCTGCCTCTCTCTCTCTCTCTATCATAAATAAATAAAATTAAAAAAAAAAAAGAACACAAATCACGGACAGGTGCTGCAGCCTAAAATCTTACCAGCCCTTGCTTCCTGTTTACCTCTGCCCACTTGGCTCATCCAACGGGGCTAGAGTCCTCCCACCCCAGGCCCTTCTGCTGGCTGCTGCTCCCAAGGTTAAGATGCCATGCCTGTTCTCCTTGGTTCCATACCAAACCAGATCCACTGTCCTCTGCCACAGACCCTTCCCTGATTCTGGGTTTTGGGCAAATACGATGCTTTTTTAAATATATTTTTATTTAAATTAAATTTAACATATACCATATTACTAGTTTTAAAGGTAGAATTTAGTGATTCATCAGTTGCATACAACACCCAGTGCTCATTACTTCAAGTGCCCTCCTTAATTAAGCCCATCACCCAGCTACCCCATCCCCCACCCGTTCCCCTCCAGCAACCCTCAGTTTGTTTCCTAGAGTTCAGCATCTCAGTTACAATGCTCTTAGTCCCACATCATCCTCCTTCCCAAAAAGCCCAGGGCTCTCTCCAGCCAATCACTCTACCTCTCTCCATATCTTGAAAGTTCCTCTTAACACAGGAACCCTCTGCTTCCTTTGGATTGCTACTCAAAGTAAAAAACAAGGCTCTGTCCAAAAGACATCCATTCTTGTTGCCCAAAGTCCTCTCCTCTGCCCATGGAAAGGCCTACAGATGTAGTATATTCAGCTTATGGCTGAGTCAAGCATTTAACTTCTCAATTTGCAAGCGAGTTGGCTCACCCCATTCAGAGTTCCCAGGACACGTAAAAATCTCTCCGATTCTGTTTTCTGTATGCTTTAGGGCCAGCCTAGCCTAACTGTAGGGTCGAGGGAGGTGTCAGTTTGAAAAAGGAGAACAGAGTAAGATCATTTCCAGAAGACCAGTATACTTCAGCCCCTTGGTCAAGCAATGCCTGGAGCCTGGGCTTGGGAGTCAGGCAGGCAGAAGAGTTCATCTGGCAGGCAGGCTCCTCTCCAGGCTGTGTATCCTGGTAGACTGCAGAGACCCAAGTGTGCAGGGACCCAGCCAAGGGGCCATGTGGATCACCTGCTCAAGCTACCTTGAGATGTCCAACTTCTTGGATGACATCTGGGGTCACAGCCACACCCCCTGCAGCACCAAGGCCCCACTCTGCCCTCAGCTGAGCTCCCTCTCCACCTAGCCCCTCCTGCCAGCTGGGGAAACTGTTCTTTCCTCCTGAGGCCTTCTGCACTTCCAAGACCAGAGCTGCCCATCCACCTCCTCCAGGCAGTCATTCTGGTAACAGGCTTCAGCTGCCAGTGGGTGCCGTGTCTCCTCCTCCATCACCCCCTATAAACAGGACCATAACATCACTCCCCAGTCATGTCTCTCACTCCCACAGGACTGTGTCGTAAAACCTCCCAGCAGGGGAGGTGACACCTCCACAGAGTCATGCAAGGGGGCAGCTTTGGCAGCATACACCCGAGTCACCAAAGAACAAGTGTACAGAGGAAGGACCACTTTTGCTTTTGTTTTTCTGGAGACATATGATCCATGAGATCAGAGAGCACAGAAGTCCTGAAGTGCAGAGTAAAAGGGAAAACACTCCCAGGGGCCAGAATCAAGGCTCTGGGACAGGGAGAACAGGGCAAAGGGCAGGGAGGTCATCTCCTGGCACTGTCTAGTTGAGGACTTTAGGCTCTATTCTGGAGCAGGAGCCAAGCGCAGCAGGGATGAGTTTGGACTCCACCGTCAGACACCGAAGTGGACTCCCCACCCTGCCCCACTAGCCACTTGGCCCTGGGCGAGCTCCTTCAGCTCCTGGGTCCCTCAGGTAGGATGCGGGCATGATGCGGACACTAGGCCTTCAGCACCACTTGAGGATTAAATCAAGTAAATGCTGATAAAGCACTCAGAACAGCGCCTGTTACACAGTAAGTGCTATTTAAGTGTTAATTTTCCAGGTTAAAAATGAGATGGGGAGAAAATGGAGAATTTTAAAATACAGACGTTCCCCATGAGGTTTTCACCCATCGCTTCTTCTACCCTACCCTTCCTGCATAATCTCTGGAGCAGAAATGTACCGATTCCAGTGGTTTCCGTGCCCCCTGCCCTCTGCCCTCTAGGCGAGGGGATGCCACCTCACCAGCACCTGGGCACGGTGAGGGGAGGTCAGTGAGCAAAGGGCTGGTGTCACCCAGGGACACAAACCATCTGGTAACAGTGGGTCCCCCAGTACTGGC